CCTTTGTATTTCACTTGTTGTGTCTGGGGTGCAGTGTGATAAAAATATTTTTCTTTCTGTTGAAGCCTGCCTGTAGGAAAGAGCCTGGGCCTCCGTATTTTCGGGGGATAAAACTACAGTTTTTGATTTAATGGTATGCTTTTCTCGTTTGTAACTTTGTCTTTGATTCTGAGTATATGTGTGGCACTCTTTTTTTTTTTTTTCATTGTCCAAAAATCGTCTTAATAAATCCTAAAGTAATCATGTTGCTTGCATCCGATAGTCTGGAAATCTGTTTAGGACTATCCTAATTTGCTCCCTGCGGTTCCTATGGCCAGCTAAGGAATTCTGGGAGGGGAAGTCCAGGCTCCTTTGAGTCCCCAAGGCTGAGAGAAGAGAAGAGTTCAGGAGTTGCACACTTCCTGCATCCGCCTAGAAGATGTAAAGCAAAGCATTGGAGTTCTCTTTGTGGTCCAAAGATCGAATATGTGGGAAACCTTTAAAGCACCCAAGAAAGCCTCAAAGGTGCTTTTCCAACTGGACTATGTTCGTTCCCTTGAGGAGGAAAAAAACATTTTGCTTCTCGTCCAAGACGCGTCATCGGTTCTGGTTGGATGGTGGTGGGGGTTCACCGACAAAAGGGCGAACGACAAAACCGCGCCTGACTAAACCGCGGTGACAAAACCATGAGTTCTAAAGCACTCCGACGAATGAGCGCTGAATCGTGCCGACAACAGTGCGGCAACAGAAGCGCTGTAAAACTAAACCTAACCCTAACCCTAAACGTAACGCTAACCCTAAACCTAAACCTAACCCTTACCTTAACTTAAATCGGCTTTCTGTCGACACGTTGTTGTAAAGCGCCCTTCTGTTACCGCGCTGTTGTCGGTGCATTGGTGACGTCGCGGTTTTAGCGACGCGCTTTTGTCGGGTCACGGGTGGTGGGAAATGGAAGGATTAATTCTGACAGGATCCTTCCATCTCTCTCCCCAGCCCCCCAACCCCCACCATCCAGTCCAGGGGTCACCAACCTTTCGGACCTCAGGGACCACTAAATTCATAATTTTAAATCCCGCGGACCACTAATATGAATTAGTGACGGATGGGGTCCTTCAGGCAGTTAGCTTGGCCGCCTGTTAGCGGAGAGAAGCCCCTCGGTTTGCTGTCGATTGCAGCTAGGAATCTCAAGTACAGCCAAGAATGAATGTTTGTCTGTGTAGCCAGCCGGGGCGATAAGATTGGCCGCCTGTAAATTCTGTCTTTTGAGGAGCTCGGGCGAAGTTTTGCGCACCGCTCGCTGAAGCGCCTGGACTCCCAGGGAGGGAGGGAGGGAGGGGCTGTAGCTACTAAACAGGCAGCCAAGCTAAGCGCCTGAAGGACCCCATCCCGTCAGCGAGCGGGCGTAATTGCTTTGGTGGGCCGTATCCGGCCCAGGGGCCGTAGTTTGAGGACCCCTGATTTAGTGTAATATAAAAAAAATGCCAAGATTTTTCTGCAGTCCACCAAAATATTCAGTGTTCCACGGACCGTCCGTTGGTGACCGCTGATCCAGTCAGAACTGATGAAGCTTCTTCGAAGAGAAGCGAAACGTTTTCAAAGAAAAAACCCAAGGAAGTCCAGTTTGTTTTTGTTTTGTTTTTTGAAAAACCACCTTTGAGGCAACCATGAGTTGGATGACTTGAGAATCTCCCAAGACATTCACCCAAGAAACCCTTCCCTGTGGGAAGAAGAATTGGAGTATTCGGCTTTCACATTTGTATCCCGGGGGATCGGAATGGCTCCAGCCACCCTGCCTCTGGCCCAGAACGAAATGCCCTGTTGGGAAACTCTTTGGACAGGTTTAGTTAAAGGCCCCCCTGTCATTTCTTCTCCAGGGATGCAAAGAAAGAGCCAGGGGAGGCCAAAGCCTCATTTTAAAAGGCTTCTCCCAAATGCATTGGGAAGAGTGAACGCTGCAGCACCTTCCCATCTATTCCATTAGAACTAATTAGCTACAAAAGGATTCCAAGGGGGGGGCGCGGTTGGTGCAGTTTTGATCACGAGGTTTGGGCCCGTCTGGCAGGAGATGACAGGAGTCTATTAAAAGCCGGAGTTCTTG